CGGGTCATTTTCAAAAAACAACCGCTAAGCGGATATTGTTTATTTTTTTTTATGAAAAATTTACGATGAGTTACGGTATTGAGAGCACAGGGTAGGTGTAAAGAAACAACAACTCATGCAGTTAACCTAATTATTTCAAGTCTGGTACAAAAACGCACGATCACACCGGCTCACCTGGTGCGTTCCAGTCTGGGTTGATTTATGCCTAAATATGCGCAGAAATTGTGAAAACTGTCGTGAGAATTTCATAATCGCAGTTTAATGCATATTTATTATGCGGTTAGTGCTGTGTAACAACAGTCAAACGCATATTGTCACAGGGTTGTGTGTGTGTGTCCGCAGCAACTTGTTCGCAACTTTCAACTCGGGAACCACAAAAGCTAGGAAGCCGAAAATTTAGAGGAACGTTCCCACCCACGTGTAGACCCGGAAAATTTAAATTCAGCTTCCCTGTACCCGCGGTAACACATATGACCCCGTGAAAGTTTTTTACGGGTAAATTAATATCTCGGGAACCACGGAGTCTAGGAGGCTGAAATTTTAGAGTAATGACCCCCTGCTCACGCTTAACCTTGCCTATTCAAATTCAGCGTCTCCGCGCTCTCTAGCATCACCTACGGCCTAGTGAAAATTTTGTTGGGTAAACTATTACCTGGGGAATCATGGAAAGACATTCACCCTTCAAGGTTTCAAATTCAGCTTTCATGCGCTGATGCGTGAAATTTTTAACTGTTTTCCGACGTTTCAATTATTTTTGCATAGACTAAAGTACAAAGCAGTGAAAATCATTAATAAGCAATCATTCGATGGGCTAAATTGCACAAAACGCATTATCGCACCGCTAGTCTGGTGTGCGTTGCTATTTATTGAATCTTCACTCAGCTGGACACTGTGCCGATTCTGGAAAAAAGAAGGATGGGATGAAAACGTTTATTCAAAGAAGCTGTACACGATGCTAAGCATCTCAACATTTACAACCTAATTAAAATACTCATCTCATTTCAATCGGCATATTTTCTCACATTCAAAAATGTACCTTAAATTTATAAAACGCTGTTTTTGGATGCTTATAACTGAACGATCAGAAACGAACGACATGAAATTACGTCTGCCCGTTCCACTTGAAATTGCGTTCGGCTGATCCGCTAACTTAACTTGAATGTGTGGCATAATGTGGATGTTGGACGCACAAGACCGCTGTGAAGTTACTGGCTGCATAAGTAGAAATTCGTGCTATGAGCTAGCAACTTGTCAAAGTGTTTCAGGCCAAACAAAAAAGTCAGAGCCGTTTTGAATCATCGAGGCAATAACAGAAGCAACAGAATGCGTGCTGCTGTGTATCCTATACGGAACTGCGCCGGTACGCCTGCCGTATGTATCGATAGTATCGATAGTACATATCCAGCCGTCTATATAACTCATTGAACCTTTGGTACTGACTGCTTGTTTCGTGAGGTAGCTGGAAATTTCTGGTGTCATCAGTGCGCGCTGTCTCAGAATACCTGCAAAATTCTACTTTCTTGTGGACACAAATTCTACATAATTTTCTATAAAAGAAA